TGGAATAATGTTATATGTACTAATTAATGTACCAACTAGTGTACCAATTGATGATGCGGTATAATTTAAGATGGCATAATTTAAGATATTTTTGGTATTTATAATTTGTATAATGAGTGGGTCAATAATAATGCCATAACTAATATTGGTACAATAGTTAGTATACTAATTGATGTATATAACACTACCATAATAAGTAGGATCAATAATGATGATATAACATTAACGTGATACTATCGAAAAAAATATGTTATTAAAAGTAACCTAAGAGTGCTTGTTGGGAGAGAGAAAATATGTTATCAAAAGCAAGGAGAGAAGGGAGGATTTCAAACCATCCGTGGATTTTCTTTTAGTTTTTGGAAATCTTTTTCCAAAAATGTTTACGACCCCCTTTCCCCCACCCCCTTTGACCCCTCTCTTTTTTGATTGGCTACTTTCTCTTTTCTTTTCTTTTCTTTTTTTTCCATCTCCTCCAATCACCGCCCGCCACGTGTGTGTGGGGTGGTGGGGATGGTAATTGGAGGAGGTCTCTATCAATGCTCTAAAATATATATGAGTCATTTTCAAGTCCAAACTCTAGGGCCAAGCTCAAGAGGTGAGGGTGGTGTTTATGATTTGATAATTGGGGATTCAATTTTGTTCATACACATAAAGTTTTATTAAATAATTAAAATAATGGAATCTTTTTCTTTAAAATAAAATTTATCATATTCTTTTAAACAATTAATGATATATTTTTTGTTCATATGCTTAAAAAAAAAAAAAAAAAAGGTCATCTATATCTATACCATTTATTTATACTCACTATTATATAAAATGAACATGTTTGGCAGTATTTTGAAGCCTTTCACTCCATTTATGTTTAAGTGTCAATTTTTCTGTTAAAACAAACAAAAAATTAATTAGATAGAGAAGAAAGTGAGATTTTAACATAAAACCTTTTAATCAATAAAGCACAGTCTTAGGCCTCGTTTGGTAACTGAACTTTTTAGTCAAAAAGTCAAAAAGTTATTAAATTAGCCAAAAAGCCAACAACCCATATCAAAAAGTTAAAGATTCTCTTTTCTTTCTACGTTTTGCACATATTTTCGTAAAAAGTTAAAAAGTTATCACAAGCATATTAGTTTTTTTTAGTTTATTTTTAGTCAGATAGTCAAAAAATTACTAAATTAGACTGTTCCCAAACGAGACCTTACTATTTACCTAATGCACAACATATAATAAACATTTTATTTTATTTATATTTATTTAAATTGTACATGCATCAAGCTACTAATATCTTAAATGACTAAAGCATAATTTATCTTGAAAACATTATTGAGAATAATCATTGTGCTATCTCAGATAGACAATCTAAGAACGGGTGAATTGAGTTTATAAATAAATTGTCAAATTAAAAATTAACCCAAATAATAAATAAATAAATAAATATGCTAAAAAATATAAAATAAAGTAATGAAATAAAATGACCAAAAGGAAAAGAAATCAAACAGAGCGATTTATAGTAGTGCGGCACACCGGGCCTACGCCACTCCCTAAGTATCTTCCTCGGGATATTTTTCACTAACTTTCAAACAGTAGTTACATCACTAGTTTCATGCGTGCTAGTGAACTTTTACAACAAGTGACCAATCCCGATTACTCCGACTAGTTTAGAATCGGTGTCTAGTCACACCTAATGTAGTGACCCTCATTCCCCGCCTTAACCTTATGCATGAGCATCTGTATAATCTTGTTTTGCTAAGCTTGCATCAGTGAATTCTGAATTGTTTTACCTAGAATAAGATTCTTGTCTTGGTTTGTACTTATGTGAATTTGCCTGTTAGTCTTATTCCTTTCCTAGTAAGTCTAGACGAGGTCACCCTGAGCCTAGAACCACCTTGGAACCACTTTGGTTGACCTCTACCTTCGTCTTGGCATATTGGCCGAGATGTCATTATCTAGGCCGAGGTGTGTATCACCAAGGCCGAGATGTGTATCGTCTAGGCCGAGATGTTATCCTTGAACCCAAGTGATCTTGTTCCTGGATTAGTACGACCTAAACCGACGTGTCGCACATCTAGGCCGAGGTGTGGCACAGCTAGGCCAAGTGTTGTCCTTCCTAGCTGGGATCATTGATACCTTACCTGTCAGAGCTGTTGATGTCACCGATGTCATTATCTTGCTAGAATGCCCATGCCGCTTTATTTGTTGAACACCCTTTCGCCATGCTTTTGTCTGGTCTGTCGGCCACTTTTGAGGGAACCCAACCGGTCGCTGCCACGTGTCCCAGCAGAAGATTAAGCCTAGAACCATACGAGAGAACCTATCATTTTGTATCATACTTTTGCCTTTAGAGAGAGAAGCTCTAGGAGGAAGAAGAAGTTTTAGAGTGAGAGAGTAAATCTTCGAGCTTGATTCCTAGAGATCAAATCGTTAGGTTCGTTTATTGAGGTTAGATTCTTGACTTACTCTTGTTGTTCCTTGTGTTCATCTAGCTGCATTGCATGATCTAGCATGTTTCATGAACCATGCATTGCTTTGAAGTTCGATTTTAGAAAGAGAAAGTGATATTCATGTGTTCTTGAAGAAAATCATGTTTTGATTCGAAAGTTTGTATCAAGATGCATGTTTTTGTGTTTGTTTTCATAAGATCTTCAAGTATGTGTACCAAGGTCCATGTTTTCGAACTCATAGCACGCAATCTTAGATTTTGTAATAACAAGATATGATTTAAGCATGCATGTTCTTCATCTTCTCCATCTTCATGTTCTTCATGTTCCTCAAAGGGAAACCCAGATTTTCCCGACTTCGCTTTTGAATGTGGCCGTGGGGACCACACCTCGGCGAGAAGGTGTGGGACCTCGGCCAAGACCTGGTTAGTACCCAGTATGTCTTCTCGACGTGTAAAACAGTGTTTTAACCCCAGCATGTTTTCCTGAGATCATCTGCATGCATGTAGGACTTGCTTTGAGAAGTGCATTCAGTAGACTCTGCCATGTGTTTGTAGGCCTTGGATCCTCGCTTGAAACCCCCACACCTGAAGAACTATGTGAGTGGTATTTTTAATAAAGCTATGTTATCATGTTTTGACAAGCTTTGCTTTGCCTTGTTTTGAAAAGTATTTGATCAAGCATGAATGATTATCCCTATTTTGTATATCAAGTATTATCTTATTTTGATGACATTCTTGGAAAAGTCCTTAGTGCCAGGGGACTATAATGCAACTGCACCCTTATTTTGCCACCGACGGTCTATGAACAGGTGGGTTTGTTTTGTCAGGAATGTTATCATCCCATGCATTATGTAGATGTTATTAAACATCCCAAGAAGATTTGAAAGGCCAAGATTTAATTGATGAACTTGATTCATCCCATGTTTTGAACAAGTTATGATATATGTATTGTTTTGACAAGGACCTCGGGAATCATTCATTTAACCCCTTTATTTCTAATATCATTCACTGAGTACCCAAGCTCACCCTCTCTATATATATATGTAGGTGATGAACAAGAAGGTGATAAGGCCTAGATGTGTTGCCGATATGTTTTGGATGTGTTTGCCGACGTGTCTTGGATTCGCATTTTTGTAGCATTTTGAAAATCATGCTTCTTAGCTTATATTTCATGGTGTTTGTATATATCGGCTTTAGAAGCTTTTTGGTCAAGATGTATTTTGTATTTCTTATTATTGAATCCAAGTTGTAAAATCATGCTAAGTTGTATGTCGTATCATTTGATCTATGCACAGCTCTTATGGACTATTTAGATTTAAATATATTGCTTCCGCACATGTAAGCCCTATATGTAATACTCTGATTGTGTGTGAATCTTTGTAAGTTGGCCTTTGGTAATCTCGGATTACTGGCCATCACGGCACCATTCTATTAGGTGTGGAGTGGGGTCGTGACAGATTGGTATCAGAGCCAGGTTATTCGTAGTACGTTGTTCACGCACTTTGAGTCCTGAAGAGCATCGGATTTCCCTTTAAAATGATTTTAGGTTTGCATCATACTGCTTACTACTTGACAATGTGTGCATCATCTCGGCATGACCATTTGTTACTTGCATACATATTACCTGTTCAGTTTATTTTAAAGTCACATTTTACATCCTCCTAGCATCATGAGAAGAGGTAGACCTCCGGTTGGCCGAGATCATTTCGAAGATAGATTGGAAAGACTGGAAAGGTTGGTCAAAGGTTTGGTTCGTGAGCTGAGATAACCCAGGCCACAAGATACTGGTACTACTTCTACCCAGGCCGAGCAAACGAATGGCCGAAATATAGCTCCACCTCCATCTCCTCTAGTGTTGCAAGTGCCTCCACTGCAAGCTTTGTATGGGAACGACATAATAACCCTGATCAGAGAGTTCAAGAAAATGAAACCGCCGAGATTCCAAGGAGGTATAGAGCTGATGAAAGCCGAGGTAAGGGTTTTGGAAATGGAGAAATTGTTCGAAATCTTTCCCAATTCAGACGCTCAGAAGGTATCTCTGGCAGTGTTCACATTAGACGACGACGCTCGTAGATGGTGGATGATGGTCTGAGAAAGTAATCCGGGTTTGACTTGGGCCAGATTTTTGGAGTTGTTCTACAACAAACATTTTCCCCTTAGTGTTTGAGATCGAAAGACCATGGAGTTCCAGAATCTAACACAAGGGAACAAGACAGTGGCAGAATACGACCGTGCCTTTACCGAATTGGCAAGATATGCGCCGCACATGGTTGATGACGAATACCGAAAGGCGAGGAAGTTCGAAAGTGGGTTGCGTGAACCGATACAAGATTGGGTTAACATGCTTAATATGCCGACATACACCGGAATACTAGACAAGGCCATCCTGGCGGAAGCTAACTTAAACCGATACCAGAATCTAGGAGAAAGTCAGAGGAAGAGGCAGAATTATGATAATCGCCGAGTTCCGTTCAACACCAAGAAGAAGGCAAACGTGGACAGTTCCAGTAACTCAAATCAGGAAGGTAATGTTAAGCCGATGTATGCGAGTTGTAGGAAGTCACATTTTGGGGTCTGTCGTTGGGCAACAGGGGCTTGCTACGAATGTGGCGAGATAGGTCATCGTGTGAAGGACTGCCCGAAGACAAAGGCTGACGATGGAAAGAGGAATGGAAGCACCTCGGGTTCTGCACAGAAAAACAACGTCAGAAGGATACAGATGAGGCAGGGCAGAGTTTTTGCATTAGTGTCAGGAGGCACCCAGAGTGCCGAGGCAGTAGTGTCAGGTACCCTTTCAATTTGTTCTCAAGATGCATACATATTGATTGATTTGGGTTCTACGCATTCATTTGTATTGCCATATTCGCCGAGAAGTTGAATAGGGAACTAGAACCCCTTAATTATGTATTATCTGTGTCTACTCCATCTGGGAGAAATATGACTGTTGCATCCATTTATAGGGCGTGTATTGTTGTGATTGAGGATGTAGAAGTATTAGTTGATTTGATGCCGTTGAACATAGCTCACTTTGATGTCATTTTTGGAATGGATTGGTTAGTAGCAAATCGTGCATCCATTAATTGTGTCTCCAAGAGTGTCACATTGAAACCCCTAAACCAAGCTGAGATTACGTTTCAGGGTAAGGAAGTAATATCCCTACCTTATTTGATCTCATCCATGAAAGCCTTTAAACTGATCCGAAAGGGGTGTCAAGGTTACCTGTGTAGCATACTAAGTGAATTGAATGGAAGTATTGAGCTAGCCGACATACCGGTTGTTAAGGAATTCCCCGACGTCTTTCCGAATGACTTGTCTGGCCACTTAGTCGATAGAGGAATAGAGTTTACTGTTAATGTTATGCCGGGAACCCAGCCAATCTCTAAAACACCCTATAGAATGGCCCCAGCCGAACTTAAAGAATTGAAACTTCAATTACAGGAATTGTTGGATAAGGGATTTATTAGGCCGAGTACTCCACCATGGGGAGCACCAGTTCTGTTTGTCAAGAAAAAGGATGGTACACTTCGTCTTTGTATCGACTATCGGGAACTGAACAAGGTAACCATTAAGAACAAGTATCCATTGCCGAGGATCGATGATTTGCTTGATCAACTACAAGGGGCACGAGTCTTTTCTAAGATTGACCTCAGGTCGGGCTACCATCAGTTGAAGGTTAAAGCCGAGGATGTTACGAAGACTACTTTTCGGACAAGGTATGGCCACTACGAATTTTTAGTAATGCCTTTCGGGGTAACCACCGCCCCTGCAACATTCATGGACTTGATGAACAGAGTCTTTCAGCCGTATCTAGATGAGTTTGTGGTTGTCTTCATCGATGACATACTGATCTATTCCAAGAATAGTGACGAGCATGAGAAGCACTTGAGACTAGCCTTACAGGTTTTGAGAGACAGAAAGTTGTACGCCAAGTATAGTAAGTGTGAGTTTTGGCTTTCCAGCATCTCATTTTTGGGCCATGTGATTAACGAAGAAGGAATCTCTGTTGATCCGAGTAAAATTGAAGCTATTGTGAATTGGCCGACACCGACCAACGTGTCCGAGATTCGTAGTTTTCTGGGTTTGGCTGGCTATTACAGGAAATTTGTGAGGGACTTCTCAAGAATTGCCGTGCCGTTGATGTAACTAACGCAGAAAGGAGTGGCGTATGAATGGACCGAAGATAGGGAGTCTGCTTTTCAAGAGTTAAAGACGAGGTTGGTTATAGCACCGATACTTGTTCTACCGTCAGGCAAGGAAGAATTTCAGATTTATAGTGATGCTTCACATAAAGGATTGAGCTGTGTGTTAATGCAAGGAGGTAAAGTCATAGCATACGCATCTCGTCAGCTGAAGCCAATGAAAAGAATTATCCTACCCATGATTTGGAACTGGCAACCGTGATTTTTGCTTTAAAGATATGGCGTCATTACTTGTATGGAACTTCTTGCCAAGTTTTCACCGGCTACAAGAGTCTGAAGTACTTGTTCACTCAAAAGGAATTAAATATGAGGCAGAGAAGATGGCTTGAATTATTAAAGGACTATGACATACAGATCCAGTATCATCCAGGTATGGCAAATTCTGTAGCCGACGCGTTGAGCAGGAAGTTAGTTGGAGGGTTGGCATGTCTGGCAATGATTTCAGTGGAGCCGACCATTATTGAGGAAGTGAAGACCAGACAGATGGAGGATAAATTCCTCAGGAAAGTAATTGATGAGTTCGTCACCAAGCCGAGGCCAAGATACACCATTGAAAATCAGGTGCTTAAGTTTGAAGGAAAATTATGCGTGGCCGACGTCCCAGAGTTGAAAAGGAAGATTTTGCAGGAAGCCCATAACTCCAAATTTGCCGTTCATCCAGGAAGCACCAAGATGTATCAAGATGTGAAGCGGACCTTTTGGTGGCCAAATATGAAAAGAGAAATAGCTGAGTTTGTATTCCAGCGTCTATGTTGTCAGCAAATGAAAGCAGAACACCAAAGACCAGCAGGACTACTTCAACCCTTGTCAATTCCTGAGTGGACATGGGAACACATCTCTATCGATTTTGTGGTTGGGTTGTCGAGGACGCAAAAAAGTATGAACTCAATTTGGGTTGTAGTTGACAGATTAATTAAGTCAGCACACTTTTTGCCTGTCAAGGCTACATTCAATGCTGACCAACCTACTGAATTGTATATGAATGAGATCGTTAGGCTTCATGGTGTGCCGATGTCCATTGTGTCAGACCGAGATCCGAAGTTCGTTTCTAGATTTTGGCAGAGTCTGCAAAGAGCCTTAGGGACAGAGTTGAGGTTTAGCACAGCTTTTTACCCCCAGACTGATGGGAAAACGGAAAGAACGATTCAGACACTCGAAGATATACTCAGATTGTGTGTATTGGATTTCAAGGGAAGTTGGGAATTGCATTTGCCATTAGTGGAATTCGCATACAACAACAGTTACCAAGCCAGCATTGGCATGGCGCCGTATGAAGCTTTGTATGGAAGGGAGTGCAGATCGCCGATATGTTGGACCGAGGTAGGAAACAAGGCTTGGATTGGCCCCGAGTTAGTTCAAATAACAACTGAAAAGATTAAGCTCATTCAGCAGAGGATTAAAACCGCACAGACTCGACAAAAGAGTTATGCCGACCAGAGGAGAAGGGAGTTAGAATTTGAAGTTGGGGATCACGTGTTTTTGAAGATCTCGCCGATGACAGGAGTTTCAAGATTTGGTAAGAAGGGTAAATTAGCACCTCGATATATTGGGCCATTTGATATTCTCGAGAGAGTCAAACCCGTTGCCTACAGACTTGCTCTGCCGCCAGAATTAAGCCAAGTCCACAACGTGTTTCATGTTTCGATGTTGAGGAAGTATATCCGAGACCCACTGCATGTAATTGATTATTCCGAGGTTGAAGTTAATGAAGATCTAGGCTACGAGGAGAAGCCGATGAGAGTTGTTGACAGACAAATGAGACAGTTGAGAAACAAGTCGATACCGATGGTAAAGATTAAATGGGAGGAGCATTATGGCAAGGAAGCTACGTAGGAAAAGGAAGAGGAAATGAAAATCCATTTTCTGGAGTTATTTGTGGAGCAAGGTAACTTAAGTTTGGGGACCAAACTTCTCTAAGGAGGGTAGACTGTAGTGACCCTCATTCCCCGCCTTAACCTTGTTCATGAGCATTTGTATAATCTTGTTTTGCTAAGTTTGCATCAGTGAATTCTGACTTGTTTTACCTAGAATAAGATTCTTGTCTTGGTTTGTACTTATGTGAATTTGCCTGTTAGTCTTGTTCCTTTCCTAGTAAGTCTAGCCGAGGTCACCCTGAGCCTAGAACCACCTTGGAACCACTTTGGTTGACCTCTACCTTCGTCCTGGCATATTGGCCGAGATGTCATTATCTAGGCCGAGGTGTGTATCACCAAGGCCAAGATGTGTATCATCTAGGCCGAGATGTTATCCTTGAACCCAAGTGATCTTGTTCCTGGATTGGTACGACCTAGACCGAGGTGTGACACATCTAGGCCGAGGTGTGGCACAGCTAGGCCAAGTGTTGTCCTTCCTAGCTGGGATCATTGATACCTTACCTGTCAGAGCTGTTGATGTCATCGATGTCATTATCTTTCCAGAATGCCCATGCCGCTTTACTTGTTGAACACCCTTTCGCCATGCTTTTGTCTGGTCTGTTAGCCACTTTTGAGGGAACCCAACCGGTCGCTGCCACGTGTCCCAGTAGAAGATTAAGCCTAGAACCAGACGAGAGAACCTATCATATTGTATCATATCTTTGCCTTTTAGAGAGAGAAGCTCTAGGAGGAAGAAGAAGTTTTAGAGTGAGAGAGTAAATCTTCGAGCTTGATTCCTAGAGATCAAATCGTTAGGTTCGTGTATTGAGGTTAGATTCTTGACTTACTCTTGTTGTTCCTTGTGTTCATCTAGCTGCATTGCATGATCTAGTATGTTTCATGAACCATGCATTGCTTTGAAGTTTGGTTTTAGAAAGAGAAAGTGATATTTATGTGTTCTTGAAGAAAACCATGTTTTGATCCGAAAGTTTGTATCAAGATGCATGTTTTCGTGTTTGTTTTCATAAGATCTTCAAGTATGGGTACCAAGGTCCATGTTTTCGAACTCATAGCACGAAATCTTAGATTTTGTAATAACAAGATATGATTTAAGCATGCATGTTCTTCATCTTCTCCATCTTCATGTTCTTCATGTTTCTCAAAGGGAAACCCAGATTTTTCCGACTTCGCTTTTGAATGTGGCTGTCGGGACCACACCTCGGCGAGAAGGTGTGGGACCTCGGCCAAGACCTGGTTAGTACCCAGCATATCTTCTCGACGTGTAAAACAATGTTTTAACCCCAGCATGTTTTCCCGAGATCATCTGCATGCATGTAGGACTTGCTTTGAGAAGTGCATTCAGTAGACTCCGCCATGTGTTTGTAGGCCTTGGATCCTCGCTTGAAACCCCCACACCCAAAGAACTATGTGAGTGGTATTTTTAATAAAGCTATGTTATCATGTTTTGATAAGCTTTGCTTTGCCTTGTTTTGAAAAGTATTTGATCAAGCATAAATGATTATCCCTATTTTGTATATCAAGTATTATCTTTTTTTTGATGACATTCTTGGAAAAGTCCTTAGTGTCAGGGGACTATAATGCAACTGCACCCTTGTCTTGAAAGTCCTTAGTGCCAGGGGACTATAATGCAACTGCACCCTTGTTTTGCCACCGACGGTCTATGAACGGGTGGGTTTGTTTTGTCAGGAATGTTATCATCCCATGTATTATGTAGATGTTATTAAACATCCCAAGAAGATTTGAAAAGCCAAGATTTGATTGATGAACTTGATTCATCCCATATTTTGAACAAGCTATGATATATGTATTATTTTGACAAAGACCTTGGGAATCATTCATTTAACCCCTTTATTTCTAATATCATTCACAGAGTACCCAAGCTCACACTCTCTCTATATATATGTAGGTGATGAACAAGAAGGCGATGAGGCCTAGATGTGTTACCGATATGTTTTGGATGTGTTTGCCAACGTGTCTTGGATTCGCATTTTTGTAGCATCTTGAAGATCATGCTTCTTAGCTTATATTTCATGGTGTTTGTATATGTCGGCTTGAGAAGCCTTTTGGTCAAGATGTATTTTGTATTTCTTATTATTGTATCCAAGTTGTAAAACCATGCTAAGTTATATGTCGTATCATTTGATCTATGCACAACTCTTATGGAATACTTAGATTTAAATATATTGCTTCCGCACATGTAAGCCCCATATGTAATACTCTGATTGTGTGTGAATCTTTGTAAGTTGGCCTTTAGTAATCTCGGATTACTGGCCATCACGGCACCATTCTACTAGGGCCGGAGTGGGGTCGTGGCACCTAACCAAATAATTTTATCTCAAAAATCACTTACAAAAATATCACAACTAGTTTTGAATCTGATGCTCACACCTAATCCAAGTGATTTATCCCAAAAAAATCACCCACAAAAATTCTCTCGTTTTACAAGAATAATATAAATAAGGGATAGAAAACTCTTTCACAATTTTGCTCGAACTCTCAATAAATTTTCTCATAGAAAATATAACTAAATGAAGCACAATACAATATTTGAGAATATTTCAACATCATAGATTTTTTTTCTTATTCACTTCTTATTTTTTTTCTCCAACCAAAACACTTTTATTTATATCCAAAAAATTATTCCCGTTGAGAGAGAATAGATGCTCATCTTCAAGTTTGCATGTCGCATAGAGACAGAACCCACCCTCTTCTTTTTGACTTGTCAGTTCGAGCATGTAGAGGAAACACACGGCAGGCAATCGTTTGAAATTAACGATAAAAAACTCCCTTTTGATAAATAATAATTTCAATATTTTCAAAATATTTATCGTAAAATCAAATGGTGCATAGTGACTATATAGTAAAATCAAATGGTGTACAGTGACTGCGCAGTAATTTTTCTAATAAAATATTTGAATGAATAGTAAAATCTCTTTAAATAACATTTATACCAGATATGAAAATATATACCTATTTTAAAATCTTTGTAATTATTGTAGAGATTTTAGATACACTCTAATAAAAATAACCAATCATTCCATGTGAATATATCGAATTTTGTCAAAAGAAAAACAACTCACAAATATCACATTTTTAATATCACATTTGAAAAAAGAATACAACCAATCAATATCAAAATTTGTCAAAAAATGAATAATGACTAACCATATTTTTCAAAACCTAAATAATAAATTTTATAAAATATTTTTGTAAAATTAGATCTTGCATACTAATTTCGATAAAAATTAATAACAAATACATCCAACAACATATATTTTAGATAAATAATATTTTATGTCAAATATGTATATTAAAAAATCACAATTTATCCAATAATATTTTATATATTATCAAAAATTAAATCACATAATTAACACATTGTGTTCATTGATCTTTATAAATGTGGTTTTGGGTTTTTGATTATAAATCATTGTGATGCTTTAAACACATTACCGTAAAATATTTTAATAAAAATTATTTATGAATAATATTTGTTACAGTAAATGTTACATCTATTGAATTTGGATTCGTTTGAATTGTTTGAATTTGTATGTGTCGATCGTCCGGCCGGTTATCTGAATGGATGTTGATTGACACACCAATTGATGAAGGTGTCAATTACGACTGATAAGGATGACTATCGCGGTTGACATGAAAGACGTGTCTAATTTAAACAATTTGAACAAAATTAAATTCGATGAATTAATCATTGTTTCTATTTATTATTCAGTGCATTACATGTATATACAACTAATAGATTAAAATTTAAAAATAAAAAAACCAATAGACAATGGAGGAAAACTAAAGTACCCCTACTTTCAAACAAAAAAATTATTTTCTACCTTAAAATGACTAGTAGGAAAATTAACAAAAGTACTTTTAAATCATTTGTGTCATACAAAATAAATAAATAAATAGTGTAAATTTTTTACCTTAAAATGACTAGTAGGAAAATTAACAAAAGTGCTTTTAAATCATTTGTGTCATACAAAATAAATAAATAAATAGTGTAAATTTGGTCGAGTTAAAAGAAAAAAAAATTAAAAAAACAAAATATTTAGCCGACAAAAAAGTAAGGAAATTCATGAGTCTAGGTCGGATACGTAACTGTAATCATCACCGTCGAATTTCGACACGTGTGCTTCCTCCATTCCACACCCACCTTATAAATATCCAAACCGTCGCGACCCAAAACCTCAAAACCCTTTCTCTCGCTACCTGAGGGCGTGCCATTCTCTTGCCGTCGCCCTTTCTCACTCTTCCGAGAAAAGTACACTCAACAACACTGCCAAACACCAAACCCTAGATCTCTCTTCTCTCCGATCTCTCCTCAGATCTAATCTCCCTGCTCATCAAGGTACGATATTACTCGGTATAAAAAAATTCTCAAATTTTTAGCTCTTTTTTTTTGTTTTTTTGGAATTCGATTGTTTGAATTTTTTATATTTTTTATTTTTTTGGCGGGGAATAGATGGTGTCGGACGCGAGCAAGAAGAAGGCGGCGCAAAAGAAGGCTGCGGCGGCGGCGAAGAGAGGAGGGAAGGCCCCGGCGGCGGCCGGGGCATCAAAGAACGCAGGCGGCGTTGAGAAATTGACAAATGAGGTTGACGCGCTTCAGATATCTGATCGGACTTGTACTGGTGTGCTATGTTCACATCCTCTATCTAGAGATATTCGGGTGAGTCATTGGATTCATTTTGGCTTTGGCTTTGGCTTTGGCTTTTTTTTTTTTAAAATCATGTCTGGTGTTTTTGGACGCTGGAATTTGATGGTTTGGATTTTTGTATTTGGATTGTATAATTGAGTGTTGTTTATCTGCCTTGGATATGATTTTTTTTATAATTATTTTCTCTAGTCTTGAAATTTTGTTTTGTATTAGATTTTTAGCTGATTTTTTAAATTTTTTTTAGTTAGGCCATTTATGATAAAATCTTACCAGCTTCATTTTCATGTGCCTCTTGATATATCTGAGTGTGGCATTTGATATTTTTAAACAAAGGAAGGAAATTGAAGCCCAAGATTATGTAGATAAACCATGTCTAAACATGTTTTTTAGAAATTTTCTAGGCTCGTATATGCTTCAAAAACTTGAGAACACGTGTTAATTGCCTTGACACATGAAAAAAAGTTATAATCAAAAACTTGAGAACACGTGTTAATTGCCTTGACACATGAAAAAAAGTTATAAAATATCTTGGAATCTAATAAATTTTTACTTCTTCTCTTCCTTTAGAATCTAAAAATTCTTATTTCTGAATTAAAAACATTTTATTAAACATATTTATGACACTAAAAATAAGGAGAGTATTTCACCTTCTTTGAAGATGCATGGACTTTATTTATAATCCTCTATTGCTTTGCTTCCAATGATTTTTCTTTCAAGAAGTTAGGACGCTAAGACAATTATCAAGTTAGGAATGTGGTTTTTTGCTTCAGTGTTTGCTCTTGTTGCAAGATTGACCAAAATGTTGTTGTTTCCTATATTATTCGGTCAGATCTGTTTTGATTAAATATCTAATATTTTTTAATTTGTTTTGACTCTACCAGCGTAAAATCATAGTAAAATTCATAGACCACAATCTACTTATCAAGTTGTTTAGGCCATTAATGCATTATACAAGATGGATATAAATTTTTCATAGAGTATGATAAGCTCGGGTTCTAATCCATTATCTGATTTGGAGTTTGTTGGGGCAGTTGAACATGAAATGAATTTACTCTCTCTAATAATCTGGTGGCAACCAATCATTCCCATTGTGTGTCATCTGGATCTCTTTGTTAGAGTTAAGGTTTTCAAAGGCGTTCCTGGGGCGCACGCTAGTGTGATGGGTTCCAATGTGATGGGTTCCAAAAATGCATCGAGGTGTGGTTATTTGAGCACAACACCAACAAGGTGTAAGCCTCTCTCGATGATGCGTTCGCCTCACATGCGCATACTGCACTTTTCATGCATAAGCATACAAAATGTATGCATTTTGTGATGTGGCTGGAAAAGGAAAAAAAAAAAGAAAAAGAAAAAATTTAGTGGCAACCAATCATTCCCATTGTGTGTCATCTGGATCTCTTTGTTAGAGTTAAGGTTTTCAAAGGCGTTCCTGGGGCGCACGCTAGTGTGATGGGTTCCAATGTGATGGGTTCCAAAAATGCATCGAGGTGTGGTTATTTGAGCACAACACCAACAAGGTGTAAGCCTCTCTCGATGATGCGTTCGCCTCACATGCACATACTGCACTTTTCATGCATAAGCATACAAAACGTATGCATTTTGCGATGTGGCTGGAAAAGGAAAAAAAAAAGAAAAAGAAAAAATTTAATCATACCTCATATGCAACTCTAAGGCCAAGTTTGGGAAGACTAAATAAGTGCACTTTTTGACTTTTTATGAAATATGGGTTGGATTTGGGTTGGGTTTGAAGTGATGTGTTAGAGAGGTGATGTGACTTAAATAAGATGATGTGACTTAAATAGGATAGTGACTTTTTGACTTTTTGGATTTTTTGGAAGATGCCAAACTTGGCCTAAGTAGTACAAAAATAGAAATAGGAAACTCAACAAAATCAAATCATATCAGTTCCAATAGAGGCAGAGACGATTGAGCTTCTCAGACGTCGACTTTTGGTTTGGCCGCTAGTCTTTCTGGTTGTGTCTCTCTAGTACTTCTATTTCTGGTTTTCGCTCTTGTTTTGTGTTTCTATCTGTTGTGTCTCTCTATTATTGCGTCTCTCTCTCTGTGGGTCTCTTTGACTACCAAATCTTGGTATGGTATCTCCAAGAGAATTTATTAAATGGCTTTTATTGCTTTTTTTTTTTTTTTTAACTTGAACTTCTCTCTGACTACCAGATGTTAGTGGGGTATCTCCAAAAGAATTTATTAAATGGCTTTTATTGCTGTTTTTTAACTTAAACTCCTCTCTCTATTTCAATGGGTCTCTTTAACTCCCTCTTTGTTGACCATAAAAACTTTAATAATTTATTACAAAGAAGATGGTATTTATTATTATTTTATTCGAAGTTAATGTCCTTTTTATTAATTCATTTTCTTTTTATATCTAGAATGGTTTTTGTAAATTTTATATGTTATTTCTTTTTAAAAATATTTTTTATGTTGTAGTTAAATTTATTTTATATTTTATAAAAATAAAAAATTCAATAATTAGAAGGCTTACACCTCGCTTCATTTGGAGAAAAACACCTGACCGGCTTTTGCCTATGAAAACTTTGGTTTATGAAAGCTTTGGTTAGAGTTCCATAGAATCCAGGACTTAAGTTCTTTTTTTGCTGTTATTTGCATAGCCTTCAAGGTTATGTGGATGATGTAGACTTCTAATCTAGCGGGCCTCATTTTTAGCGTATTTTTGCTATCTAGACGAGCACCTAGGCAAGCAGATGGGTCTGTCACCAATGTGTTCTGCCAAATATGTTGTCCGGGTTAATTGCATGAAACACTCTTTTGTGAATATATCCAATATGTTCGACTTTGTTGGACCTTTTGTGGAGGTAATAATGTGAATTAAAAATCCGATTTCTAACTGCTCTAATTATCTTTGTTTCTTTAAGCTGCATAATTGTTGATATTGATGAAAAATTAATCTGTTTGTGGCCGTTGCAGATAGAGTCTTTATCGCTTACTTTCCATGGACATGATCTTATTGTTGATTCTGAACTGGAACTCAACTATGGCAGGTTTGTGACTTCTACTTGACTCAATGCTGCTTGTGTATATAGCCAACTTTTTATTCATGTATACCATCCATTTGTTGCATTTTGTCTTTACAGACGCTATGGTTTGCTTGGACTGAATGGCTGTGGGAAATCTACACTTCTTACTTCTATAGGGTGCCGAGAGCTTCCCATTCCTGAGCACATGGATATTTATCACCTCAGCCGGGAGATTGAGGCTTCTGACATGTCTTCACTTGAGGCTGTCATGAGTTGTGATGAGGAGAGGTTGAGGTTGGAGAAAGAAGCTGAAGCTTTGGCAGGACAGGTGTGGCTAGTGATTGGATGATCTGTCTCTTAGAGCTTGGTATTTTTAGGAACTTAAATCACAAACTTTGTATTGATTGTTTGTCCTTAGGATGATGGTGGTGGAGAAGCTCTCGAACGCATTTATGAGCGTTTGGAAGCCATGGATGCAGCAACTGCAGAGAAGCGAGCTGCTGAGATCTTGTATGGTCTTGGTTTTAACAAGAAGATGCAAGAAAAGAAAACACGGGACTTCTCTGGTGGCTGGAGAATGAGGATTGCTTTAGCACGGGCTCTGTTTATCTACCCAACTATCCTACTGCTTGATGAACCTACAAATCATCTTGGTAAGTTCCTGTGGCACTAAACTAGCCCATGGTGGTAAGGCTTTTTGCTTTACTTTCATGTTTTCCATAGTTGGCTGCTATGAAGCACGGGTACTCCAAAAATAGTGTCGTACGAGTACCGGGTACTTACCGGGTGCGGGTACGCGTACCGGTACGGCGGTACGCGATCGTATGGTCTAGGTGAACTAGTGTTAAACATAGTCATCATACCGAGAATAAAATCATGAATCAAAATTACATTTTTCCAAATTGTGTATTGTAAAGATTCAGTCTTAATTTCTAAAATACATAGAAAAACATATCTAAACAAGTAAATTTTTTTTTTTGATCAGCAAAAAAGAGATCTAAACAAGTAGATATTAAAAATATGTTATTATAAATATGAAATGTCTAGATATACATCAATGAAAAGCTCATTTAGAATGATGAACACGTAACAAGAGATGCTAGTTTGATCCTCCGTGTGATCTATGATCCTTTATTACATTATTGATAATGCTATGAGTAGAAAGCAGTGTCTTTGAAAGCAATTGTATGGTCTAGGTGAACTAGTGTTAAACATAGTCACAAAACAAGAATCAAATCATGCATCAAAAGTCTCTTGTTGCGTGCTCATCATTCTAAATGAGCTTTTCATCGATGTATATCAAATCGTGAAATGTCAAAATAGATCATTCAAAAACTAAATTTATGAGACAAGAACTCAAAAAATGCCAAAAGTCTTCTAGTCTTTATTCTCCAGTCTTTATAAAAAAATGGGTTAATAATATTTTTTTTTAACCATTCAAGTAATCCAATTACTCACCTGGAAGGGTCCAAATTACCCAAATCACCACACTTCTCCAAACCCATCACTTAGGCTCTTTTTGGGAATGTGGTTATAAGCAACGTTTGGGCATTTGTTCAAAAAGCCAAACGTGGCTTTTTTGTGCAGGAACCCATTTGGGAGGCTAGTAAAACGCGGCATGGAAATTTACAAATATGCCCTCCATTATTTTAAGGTGCTGGAGATTGAGAGAAGGGTGAAAATCTGTAAATACACAATAGGGAGGGGGTATTTTGGTCTTTTTACATTAGGACATGGTGACATGACATCATAAACAAATATTAACAAAAAAAGTAAAAAAGCCAATTTTTACGAACTTCCCAAATCACTTTCCTAAAAAGCCAAAAAGCTTGGTTAAAAGCCAAAAGTCAACTTTTAACTATCTTCCCAAAACACCCCTTAATGCCTTGAAAATATTCCTTTTGCAAGTAGAAATTTGTGGATAAAATTGAATCTATGGCTTAGTGTATTGAACTACATCGTGCGATACTTATTGTGAATTGTACGTGTACGATGTAAGTTCTGCTAATGTTGATTCACTCCATATATGAATCAATTACTTGGTGTATCAAATTGTGCAATATGTATTGTGAATTGTACGATTATGATAATAGAGGTGTTAAACCATATGATTATGATGATAACTTGTCTGTTTTAGTTTTGGATGGTAAGGTCAAAAAGATTCAGCTAACTAGGGATCATAGTGAATTTGATATTGATGATAAACCATTTTCCGATGACAGATTTGGAAGCTTGTGTCTGGTTGGAGGAAACTTTGAAGAAATTTGACCGCATTTTGGTTGTGGTTTCACACTCCCAGGATTTCTTGAATGGTGTTTGCACCAATATCATCCACATGCAAAGCAAAACATTGAAGCTTTACACTGGTAATTATGACCAATATGTTCAAACCCGTTCTGAGCTAGAAGAAAACCAAATGAAACAATACAAGTGGGAGCAGGAGCAGATTTCTTCAATGAAAGAGTATATTGCTAGATTTGGACATGGATCAGCGAAACTCGCTCGTCAGGCACAGAGCAAAGAGAAAACGCTGGCGAAAATGGAGCGAGGTGGGCTTACAGAGAAGGTCGCGAGAGATAAAATTCTGGTTTTTCGATTTACTGATGTGGGAAAGCTTCCCCCACCTGTACTACAATTTGTTGAAGTCACATTTGGTTACACACCTGATAATCTCATCTACAAGAATCTCGACTTTGGGGTAGATTTGGACTCAAGGGTAGCTCTAGTGGGGCCCAATGGAGCTGGGAAGAGTACGTTGCTGAAGCTGATGACGGGGGATTTGGTTCCTCTTGATGGCATGGTCCGGCGACACAACCACCTGAGGATTGCACAGTTCCATCAACATTTGACTGAGAAACTTGACCTAGAGTTGTCGGCTCTCCAGTTTATGATTAAAGAGTACCCGGAATTGAGGAAGAAAAGATGAGGGCTGCAATAGGGAAGTTTGGGCTTACGGGCAAATCCCAAGTGATGCCTATGAAGAATTTGTCAGATGGGCAAAGGAGTCGGGTGATTTTTGCGTGGTTGGCATGGAGACAGCCCCACATGCTGTTGCTGGATGAACCTACCAACCATTTGGATATTGAAACGATTGACTCACTCGCTGAGGCATTGAACGAGTGGGATGGTGGCTTGGTTCTTGTTAGCCATGATTTTAGGCTCATTAACCAGGTGGCCCACGAGATATGGGTATGTGAGAATCAAGCTGTGACCCGATGGGAGGGTGATATCATGGCCTTTAAGGAACACTTGAGGAGCAAGGCTGGTCTATCTGATTGAGCAGAATTTTTGGATGGCTCGATAAAATATATTTTAAGTTATTACTTGTGTAGCTTGGCTGATGATTCTATGCAGTGGAAAGTAGGAACGGTTATCACTCTAACGTGTTTTCCAGGCGATTATGATGAAGGCTAAGAGAACGCAGGAGGTGATTGAGGTTTGGTGGTTGTTTCAAGTAGCTAATCAGCCTTGGTTCTGTGCTTGGTTATTAGGAATTTTCACGTACTTACCTATCTTGTTATGCATTTATTCTTCATCTATTATTCTTGGCTGTGGACCAGTTGTGTACCGAGGGGATAATATATATGTATATGACTGTATTCCTTGTGGATGGGGATGCCTATATCAAACCCTTTATGTTATGTATGCAAATTTGAATCTAATGTTTTTACTTGGAACTTAAATGTTTTGTTGCTCCTCCATGTTGAATGTGCAAACTTGTTCTAAATTGGGATTCGAAGTTGGGAATTTCATACATTCTGAACTTGAAATCTTGTTCTTATTAATCAACTCTCTCTCTAGCGTGGATTAGAGAAACAACATGGTTGTGGGTGGGGAATGCCAATTTAGAACAATAACAAGGTACATTTCTCTTTTTCCTTAGCTAATGCACCGCAAACTTGACTCAAATTTATGAATTTGCTCAATTATACTCACCTAAAAACTCATTTAAATCTGTCCAAATCTATAAATGAACCTTAATGACTTGCTTATTGGGAAACTAATTAAAATTGAATTTACATTGTATCTATTTAAAACCATTTAAATGGGTGTTACTTTTATTATCAATTTACCTTTACCAACCACCATCACTGTCGCCACCATTTCACCGCCAGCACTCCCGTTGCCACTAGCTGCCACTGTCATCACTTCCATCATCACCACCATTGTCACTTCACTATTACCGCCTCCACTGACGTTGCCGTCAAATTGAAAAAAAAAAAATTGAAGTAAATGCAGCCCATTTGCCATCTCTAGTTTAGCTAGCTTTTAATAAACTCATTAATTAACGATACAATGTATCTCTTGGAGAATTAAAAAAAATAAGAAACAAACAAACAAACCGTCTTGCTAAAAAAACAAAGCGAGTTCGCCAAGTGTTATTGTTTGACACTATCAATAGATTACAGATTTAAGAAACTCAATGGAGAGATACTCTAATAATCACTTGATTAGTCAAAAAAAAAAAACAAAATCTATAGAGAAGAGCGTACGCTACCGAATTCGAAGAGAAAACGTGCTACGGCACGGCATATACCCTTCTAGCATTTGCGGCCATTAATCAACTTCGCTGTGAACGTTTGATGGATAAATTATAAATAGTTTTGTTTAAAATAAAATTATTCTTATAGTTTAAAAAATTACAAATATTTTCTTGTTAGAATTTTTTATTTAACAGAATTAATTAAAAAAATGAAATTTCTAACTGTTCACCTCTACAATAATAAAATTATCTGAATTATTAATTGAAATAAAATTTTAACATTATTAAAAACTGTTAATTAACTTGATGATTTATTAATAAAAGGACCTATTTGTTATGAAATTAGAAATCTTAAAGGCATAATGTAATTTCTAAAACTACAGGGATAATTTGTAATTTAAGTAAATCACATGGAGTGTGTTTGTAATTTACCCTCATTTTAAAATTGAAAATTCTATTTATATATAAAAGTTATATAAAATAAAATTTTATAAAAATAATAAAAAACCCCTCTAAAAAAATAATATAATAACATTATTTTATAAATAAATTTATTTTTATAATTATTTTATTTTAAAGTAAATTACACTTTGCACCCCTACATTTTGTATCAAATCTTACTTTAACCCTTACATATGAAATCATGATAGTCAACTCCTTACACTTCTGATCAAATCTCACTTTGATTTCTACGCATAAAAATGTAACAATCAACCTCATGTACTTTTGATCAAATCTTACTTTTATCCTTCCATAAGTGTCAATTTCCCTTTTATATTACTCAATTGTTTAAATCTTTAACAGAATATAATCATACGATAAGAATATAACTACAACATAAAGGTAAAAAAGGAAAATCATTACATTTTTCATCAATACACACTTTATCCCAAAATTTATATTAAAATATGACTATATTAGGCTAAAATAAAATGCAGATTGTGAACAATTAAGAAGATGAACTAGGGTTTTGCATAAATTAGAATCACGAAACTCAATTTTTTACGGTAACACAGTCTTCTATCTATTCATCTTTCTTTCTCTTTTATTTTTTGTCGCATTTTTTATTTATTTCAAAAGTTCTACTTTCTTATCTTTTTGTCCTAATTTTTTACCATATATATATATATATTGTATCATATAACTCTTATGTACTTATCACGTAAGACAAAGTATATTGGTGAGAAACATGAATAATTTTCCTCTTTTACCTTCATTTCGTAGTCACATTTTTATCATATGACTGAATTTTGTTAAAAATTTAAAAATGAAGTAACAAAAGAGGGACATTGACACTTGTGTAAGGATCAAAATGAGATTTAAATAAAAGTGCAAGGGATTAACTGTCATAATTTCATGTGTAAGGGCCAAAATGAGATTTAGAATAAAATGCAAAAGTACAAAGTATAATTTACCCTTTATTTTAAATGAAAAGTTAACAGTCACATAATTTTTTTTTGTATATCATATCACTATCCTTTTAGTGTTCCAATTTTCCACTAATGATTGTTAATAAGAAATATAAAATGTTAAAATATTTAAAATACTAATACATTTTTTATATATTCTAAATTTTCTTTTTTTATATATTTTTATAAGTTGGACTTCTCTTGAGTTTAAATTTGAATATAAGAGAACTTAAGGAGTTCGTGGGCCCACTACAGGTCTCATTTCATTTATTTGAATCGTTCATTTTGTATAGCTCTTAGTGTATATCATTTACGAAAAAAATTGATTGATTTAATAATTGTAACGTTTGATTTTACGATGTTTGTCTCTAAAAAAAATATATGACAAATATATTTTTGAACTTAAAAGAAACCTAACCCTATTTGTATATATCTTTTAGGACACTTGGGCAATAAATCTAAATTTGAAACTATTGGGGCAATTGCTCCAAACTCTATATTTTTGTCCAAAAAGACAATAATAATTTATAAATTCTTACTTATTTGTCTATTTATCCATTACCATTACCCATTGTCACCGACAATCAACGACTGATAATAGTGTGTAAAAAACTAGACCAAAAAAAAAACAGTGATAGAAAAAACACAAATTGGTTTGGGAAGTAGGTTGGCTTTTTGGCTTTTTGGCTTTTTTGGCTATTTTAGCCTGGGCTAAAAAGCTTGGTTTGGGAAGGACTTTTTGGCTTTTTGACTTTTTTGACTTTTTTTGTGAGAGAAGAATGTAATGATTATAGGTTGGATGTGATGTTTTGTTTGTTATGGCTAAAATAGCCTATTTTATTTTTTGTGGCTAAAATAACCAAAAAAGCCTGAAAACCATCTTACCAAACAGAAAGATAAAAGTTAAAAAATTCTTGAAAACATTGATTTGTGCTTCTCACCCATATATTTTATCAATTATGTTTTTATAACTAAAATAAATAAATCATTAAATCTGGCATCATATGCACCCATAAAAATGGAATGATCACACAAGAAGGTTGATCTTAAGGTTGTAAATCACACATGCACACAAAACACGAGGACTTATCACCAAAATTGTAAATCACACATGCATACGAAAAGGAAAAAAAGTTATGGATCATGAAATTTTTTTATAAAAATGATCATAAAAATTTTATGATTCTTGAATTACTTTAATTAGCGTGTGGTGTTTTATTCTAAGTGTAATCTAAGGGTTACAAACCTTTCATAATTATTTTCATAAATTTTTTTTTATGATACCTAACATTGCTGATATGAAAAACAGAAGGAAATTTAAGTAATTCACCCCAAAATTAAATGTAAATCCAACATCACTGCGGTTTTATTATAATAAAAAGGAAAAAAAAGTTATACAAGAGATAATAAAGACAATATGTCATAAATATGGAAATACCAAAAATATCTTCACTCTAAACTCGATCGGGAGTTAGTCTCCCGACAGTATTTGCTCGAACTTGCTTGGCCGGCAAGGAAGCGTGAGTACACCCTCATGATCAAACCCATACTCCTCAGCTGCTTCTTCCAAGAGCCTCAAGATAGAAGGATGCGCTAGATAGCTGAGTGGAATGACGAACCTCTTAGGTTCGTCATCATTCACTGCTATCACTGCAAAGTGCCCTTCTTTCACATCTTCAGGCACGTTGGTCGAGTCACTAGCATCTTCAATGTTGTCGATATTGGCTGGTTTTTTGGCCAATAAAAGGCTCTTTTGAAGCTTCTCTATGATAATCTTGAGCTTCACAATGCTGTTCTTTTTCTTACCACTAATTCTAAGCTTAGCCATGGCTTCAATTGTGTGTTTGTGCGTGTCTCTTTCTTCTTTCTTTTGTGAAAACTCAGTGCCTTTTCTTAGAATGCTGGCTTGCTTATATGCAGTAAAAGTGTTAGTGTGAGAGAGAGTGACAAAGCAAGAGAGAGATAGAGAGATGGTTGGACTGAACTTGGTGGAAATATGGGAGACCAGTCCACGTGAATGTGGTTTCATTTCACCTATGAAACGTCCCTTCCATGTTTTGCCTTCCAATAATGAACACTGGTAAGTAGATATGGGATCTTCCGGACCACTCTATGACATTGTTTACGAGGTATTTAAACTAACAGTATGGCATAAACTTTTTACAGGTTTCACTCTTCATCAATAATTGAGCAAAAATAAGTATATGGATCAGGAAAATCATGTGACAATATGTGTAAACAATGATATGTGTTAATTTTTTCACCGTTTCGTTATATCACATGCCTAAACAATGATATGTGTTTATTTTTTCACCGTTTCGTTATTTTTAGGGCCATTTAATTATTTGGGACCTTGTTATTGGTTTGACACACTATCAATATAAAATTCTCAAAAGACGGAATGATTACTCGTAGTTGAGAGATAAAGGATTGCACAATGACAACCCTAAATTATACTCCGAAAATGATATTATATCTTAGAAATATCTAATAATTAGATACAATGATGATATTGTCATTAATTAATAAAAAAAATTATATTGCAATAATAAAAATTAAATAATTAATGGAGATAAAAAATTGTTTGGGTAAATTAAAAGTACATCTCTTGAGATTTATTTAAAATACGAATTGTCCCTATAGTTATGAAAATTACAAATATCCTATTGTTAGAATTGTTTATTTAACAAAATTAACAACAGAAAAAATTCATAACTACTATCTTATACAGCAATAAAATTACTTAAATTGTTAAGGCCATCTCCAACACTTCAGCAAATCTATCATCAAATTCGAATTTGGTGAAAAAGTACCTCTTTTTGTGTTCCAATGGTTTCACCAAACTTGTATCAAATTGAGAAAATAACAAATGTTTCACTAAACTGAGGATCTGGGCCACCTTTCACCAGTTTATTGTAGAGGACCGTTGGGGATGGATACACCAGACGACCGGCCGGACGTCCAGCCGATTGTCCCCTCGATCATCTGGTTACTTCAAGAATTCTTAGAACAGAGCACTGGTTTGAATTGTCAACAGGCTTCCAAAGTTTTTGTTTTTTGTGGCACCAAGACTAAATGCCTTACCAACATTGATGCATGGATAGCAGAGGTAAATGCATTGCATGTATATTCAAATTTATACGCAAATTAGCCGTTGATGCAAATTAACTAGCCTTTTTTTTTCTTTTTTTCTTTTTGTTAACTTCAATCTTCACTTTCTATTTCATTTGTCTGTTGTTTCTTTTACAATCTTCTCATTGTGTGATCTTCAGTCTGCAGTAGTTCTCCAATTTTTCACTACTTTCTTTAATTTTTTTACTTGTTTCTTTTATAATATTTTTCGCTATGTGTTAAATGTTGTATCCTATTGTATTTTTTAATTTATTTATTTGTACAAATTTTACCTTCAAATTATGGAAGATTTTGAAATGTTTGAGGAATCACAAACTTCATAGTAGAACACTGATGTTCCTTTTTATTTCGGAAACGTGTCATGTTTCTTATGGCAAAGCGTTCACCATTATAGAATATGAAACTTTATGTAGATCTTGGTTGGCAGTCTCTCAAAGTCTCATTACTGGTAATAGTCAGACCATGGCAATATTCTGGAAATGAGTACTCGTTTATTTTAATTCACAATTGAATGACCAATCAAATCAAAATCGTATTTCTTTGTCTAACCGTTGGTCTGTGATACAAAAGGCAATTAATAAATTCTGTAGTTTTCTTAAGCAAATCCAAATAAGGCAACAAAGTGGAACAATTGAGGCAGATATGATAATTTTCATTTTTTTTGTAGCTTATCAATTTTTTTTTTTTTTTGTTCTAAATCTACTTTTTATCGAAATGATTATCTTTTTCATTTTTTAGATTGCTGAAGCTAAGCACATGCATTATGCAAAACAAAAAAAACACTTTACATTTGATACAAATTGGGAAATTTTGCGCCGAAGTTGTAAGTGGGATGAAATTAGAACACAAACCAAAAAACTCATACCACTACCTTATTCATTTTCGATTCCAGAAACTGAAGGTAAGGCTTTTTAACCCAGCAACGATATTAAGAAGGACCAACAATCGACTAATACATCAACACGACCAATTGGTACTAAGACTGTAAAAGAAAAGTTGAAGAAGCAAGCAATTCACAATGTTAGATTTGATGAAATGGCTGCCAACCAATCTAAAATTATTGAAGTATTGTCAACTATTTCCTCTAGAACTATTGAGCGAGATGGTTAAGCTAGTCATTATGTTTTGTTTTTCAGTTATGGTTGGTTCCAGACAGGGATGCAACTTGTGCGGGCTCAACCCGAGCAACCCGAACCTAACTCGAATATTTTTAGGGTTTGGACAAGATATTTTCAAATTTGGTACGAGCTTGGGCAAAAATTCAGAAGCTCGAATTAAATTTAGGCGGGCTTGGGCAAAAACGTCAAATAACCCGAGCAATCCGAAGTCCGAATTATACATATATAAATATATAAAAATATTAAATATACATATAAATTATTAGTTATTACATGATATTAAAGTAACTTAGATTATTAAATCATATTAAATATATATTATATATACAAATAACATAAAATCTTACTTTTTTTATTTTCACTCATAAATTGTAAAGACTACTATAGCGGTATCTCTCTTACATTATATAAATTATTTGTTTGGAAGGTATTAATGATTTTCTATATAAAAAAATATAAATAGAGTCAAATTTTAATAATTTAATAATGTAGCTAAAAAAAAAACTGAAATTTATTTACAATTCGGGCAACCCAGGTTTAATTCGAGTCGGACTTGGACAAACAATCTGGGGTTACAATTCGGGTTTGGGTGGGCCTGGGCAGGTCTCAGCACAACTTGAGCTGGGCTTGGATAACCTCTCAACCCGCCCCAACCTACCCGAGTTGCACCCCTAGTTCCAGATACAACGCTATTTGTTTGGTTTATATAGTATATGGTTTAATCTGTTTATATTTGTTTTTTGAGGGAAATAATTAATGGAGGCAAAAAGAAATGGAAAAGATTTAATGGAGAGAAAAAAAAAATAGTAAAGGAATTGAAGGAAATAGAAATGCAGTGGGAAAAAAATTTCATTTGCTCTTTCTGGTCGATCTGCCGATCGTCCTCCCAGACAACTTGTGTTTTGCTAAAAGCTACAGTAGTTCACTATTAGAGTGACTGATATCAGATAAAGGAATTGGTCATATTTTTATTCGAATGTCATGATTTATTTGGTGAACAGTTAGAGATGCCCTAATTAAAATATATTTTTAATATCATTAAAAACTATTAATTGACTTGATATTTTTTTAATAAAACAGGTCCTTTTAGATTTTTATGCATACATCATTTATAAAAAAATTAATAAATTGATTCGATAATTGTTAATCACATTTGTCTTTAAAATATTCAACAATTTGTTTCTAAAATCATACTTGTTTATTTTTATTTTTTAAAATAAACCTAATAAAATTATATGACTACAATTATTAACTCACTTTAAACTTTTTATAAATAATTTATACATTAAAATTTTAAAAATAAATAAATCGAATCATCACAGTGAGCCAGTGAACGTCCAATTTTCTCCACGAATTGGAGAGAAGTTGGACCATAGAAATAGGCCACGCAATGAACAAAATGCACATTCACACAAAAAAAATTATAGGTAAATTACAAATGCATTTTTGAGATTTGATTAAAATACGAATCACTTCTTATAATTTTATAAATTACATTCTACTCTTAAATTTTCTAATTTCATAACAAATCGCTCATTTATTAATAAATTATCAAGTCAATTAACAGTTTTTAATGATATTAGAAATATATTTTAATTGATAATTTAAGTAATTTTATTATTGTATAGAAGAAAAATTATGAATTTAATTTTTTAGTTAATTCTGTTAAATAAAAAATTCTAATAAGGAGGTATTTGTAATTTTCTAAATCACAGGAGGCAATCTGTACTTTAAACAAATCTCAATAAATATATTTATAATATACCCAAAATTATATAATAAAAGTATTTTCTTCTCTTGATGTGAAACTTGCTTTGCCACAACGATATGCCAATGGAATTGTGACGAGCAATGTTGTGCTGTGTATATTTTTATGTTAAATTTGTTTATATTGTTGGAACAAAAGCCAATGGAATTGTGACGAGCAATGTTGTGCTGTGTATATTTTTATGTTAAATTTGTTTATATTGTTGGAACAATCTTTTGTGTAAAAAAAATAATTTGAAATAAGTTCAAACAAAATAAATAAATAACATACCAGATTTATTTATCGAACCGAACTAAAATTAAGACCAAGTCGAGTGTGTGACACTCTGTCCTTAAGACAGATTCGCCCCGTTACGGTGCTTACGGTTGAGTGGCGTCTATCTCCCAGGATACAATGATTTTCACAAATCAGTAGAAGCACTTCAAACAAATTTGTTCGGCGAATCAAACCGGTGATCTATACTCTCTTTAATTTATTCTAAAACTAAATATGAAGAATAAATGCACTAGAGAAAAATTGGACAGCAATGATGGAATATCAGATGAAATTTTGGAATTTCACCAAGTATCAAGACTGCTAGAATAGGATCTATATATAGGCAAAAAATGAGACTAAAAAAAAACCTATCCGAACATGTCCGAACAGGTGCAACCTTTTAAGTAACCAAACAGCTACAATGAAAACAAATATTCAAACAATTTAAAAAGTTGACCGTTGGAGAAAATTTGAAATAGAGCAACTGTTTCAAACTGTTGCAACTTTATTAATATAAACTATTCAGAATAAATATAAATTAAATTAATTGAATATATATATTAAACTATTTGAATAGTTTAATAAATAAAAAAAGAGTTACAAATTTTAAGAAACCACTTAGGAATCCAAAATTTTGATTTTAGAATTAAATTAAATTCCCACAATTACAAACTTTAGGAAACCACTCAGGAACCCAAAATTTGAATTTAGAATTAAATTAAATTCCTACAATAATTTTTATTAAAAAAATTCAAATGAATTTTATCTAAAAAATTAATGTTAGACTCGAAAAACGACGTCAACTTCCCATTCACTCATAAATGATTTTGACGTTCTGTCTTCACCTTTGGGCTAAAAAATATGCCTATATTAAACCATTTTTCCAACAATTATCTCATGTAATATTATTGTATTTATGTCGACA